GGACCCCCGATGACCCCACGGGGACACCCCCCACCCCCGATGGCCCCGCGTCCCCTCCCGGTGCCCTCCTGGGACCCTCAGTGCCCTCCAAGCGTCCCCCTGCTCCCATCCGGGACCCCCCCAAACGTCTCCCGGTGCCATCCCGGGGTCCCCGAATGTCGCCGTGGTTCCATCCCGTTGCTCTCTGTGACCCCCGGATCCTCAGTCCCCTCCCGGGACTCCCACCGCCCCTCTCGGAGCCCTCCTGTGACCCCCTCTCCGTGCCCCCCCGGTGCCCTGACAGTCCCTTTTCTGCTCCCCGGTGTCCCCCGCCGTGTCCCCGCCCGGTGCCCGGTTCCAGGCGCAGGAGGCGCGTCCAGGGAAGTTTTATTGGATGCCAGGAGCACGGGGGGGCCGCAGCCCCGGCCCCGCGGGGGTCCCGGGGGGTTCTGTAGTGTCCGAGAGCAGCGCGGGGATCCCCCCGGGGGAAGCGGCTCCGGCTCCCACCCGCGAGTGGGGCCGGCGTGGGGAAGGAAACGGAGAGTCCCGAGGGAGGGGACAGCGGGCCGGGGGTCCCTCGGGGGCGGCTCAGGCGACGAAGTGCTGGCGGAGGTGCTGGAGCAGGTCGGGGGTGAGCAGCACCCGGTGGGCCTGGCCGTGCCCCGGCGCGCACGGGATCGTCACCCGCCCGCACAGCGCCGGGCCCCGCGCCTGCTCCTGCTTCGCCTGCGGGGACACGGCCGTGGGAGCGCCCCGAGGGGCCCGGCACCCCAGCTAAGGGGTGCTGGGTGCTGGGGTGGGGCAGGGGGTGCTCACCCGCCCCATGCCTTGGGAACGGGGATCCCTCGGGATTGGAGCTTGTCAGAACGGGGGGTCCCTCAAAACTGAGGATGAGGAACAGGGGTCCCTTGGGGTGGATTGGGGCTCCTCAGGGACGGGAGTTTTGTGTCAGTGGGGTCCCTCAGGTACTGGGGATCCCTGGAGATTGGGGTTCCTCAAGACTGGGGTCCCTCAGGATTGGGGATCTCCCTCGGGATGGGAGCTGGCGGCTGATTTGGGTCATGGGGTGCTGGGGTGGGGCAGGGGGTGCTCACCCACCCCATGCCTTGGGAACGGGGAACCCCCGGGAATGGAACCTGGCAAAAACGGGAACAAGAAAAAGGGGCCCCTGGGAGGGAATGGGGCCCCCCAAGGAAAAGAAGTTTGTAGGAATGGGGGCCCCCAAGTACAGGGGATCCCTGGAGACTGGGGTTCCTCAAGACTGGGGTCCATCGGAATCGGGGGGCCCTCAGAAACGAGGTTTTTTGTGACTGGCCTCCCTTGGAATCAGGATTCCCTCAAGATTGAGGGACGCCTTTGGGATTGGGGTCCCTCAGGATTGGGGATCTCCCTTGGGATGGGAGCTGGTGGCTGATTTGGGTCATGGGGTGCTGGGATGGGGCAGGGGGTCCTCACCCACCCCATGCCTTGGGAATGGGGGATCCCTCGGGATTGGATCTTGTCAGAACGGGGGGGTCTCTCAAAACTGGGGATCAGGAACAGGGGTCCCTTGGGATGGATTGAGGCCCCTCAGGGACGGGAGTTTCTTGTGATTGGGTTCCTGGAGATTTGGGTTCCTCAGGATTGGGGGCCCTCAGGATTGGGGGCCCTCAGAATTGGGGGGCCCTCACGAACAGGACTTTTTGTGACTGGTGTCTCTTGGAATCAGGGTTCCCTCAAGATTGAGGGACACCTTTGGGACTGGGGTTCCTCAAGATTGGGGGGCTCTCAGGAATGGGGGTTTTTTGTGACTGGCGTCTCTTGGAATCAGGATTCCCTCAAGATTGAGGGATGCCTTTGGGACTGGGGTCCCTTGGAATTGGGGTTCCTCAGGACTGGGGTCCCTCAGGACTGGGGCTATCGGAGCCGGGGGTCCCTGGGGATGGGGCTCTCACCTTCAGGAAGGAAGAGGACGGGAAGGTGCCGAAGGTGGTGGAGACGCCGGCGCCCGGCTGCTGCTGAACCATCTCCCGCAGCGTGTCGTCCTGGGGGGCACAGCAAGGTCACCCCAAAATCCACCCCGTGGGGACCCCTGTCACCCCACGGAGCCCTTGCCCACCCTGGGCAGAAATCAGAGGGGTCAAACCCGACTGTTTTGGGAGGAGAACAGGAATGGGAATGGGCAGCACCTTGTCCCCTCGCTGCCACCAGGGCTGGGCTGGGGGTGCCACCAGGAGGTCCCCCACGCTGGAGAAGACCCTTCCTCACCTTCAGGGCGTCGATGGAGTTCTTGAGGGCGCAGAGCCGGGCTGTCTGCTCCAGCAGCCGCGCCGACGAGCTCCTCGCTAAGGACAACGGGAAGGGAGGGATGGGTTTTGGGGATTTTTACCTCCTCAAGTGGGTACCAGCTGGGTTTTGGGGGATTTGATCTCCTCAGACTGGCACCAGGTGGGTTTTGGGAGGTTTGATCTCCTCAGACTGGCACCAGGTGGGTTTTGGGAGGTTTGATCTCCTCAGGCTGGTACCAGCTGGGTTTTGGAGTATTTGGTCTCCTCAGGCTGGTACCAGGTGGGTTTTGGAGTATTTTTACCTCCTCAGACTGGCACCAGGAGGGTTTTGGGGGATTTTTACTCCCTTGGATTAGTACCAGGGAGGTTTTAGAAGTTTGAGGAGCTCTGGAGCAGCTCAGCCCCAGGACACTGAGCCACATCACCCCGATGGCCTGAGGGGGACAGGGATGGGCACCGTGGGGACACAGAGCTGTCCCTCTCAACCTTCCAGCTCTGCTCCAGGTGCCTGTCGTGCTTTGACATGGAAAAAGAATTTTTCTGAAGGAAGAGGTCAATTTAGATACTGACCAATTAGGTCAATTTAGATATTGACTAATTGAAGGTGGACACGCCTCTGAGAACACAGAGGGGTTCAAAGCAAAATTCCTTGGATAACTCACTCTTGTCTCCCTCAATAGACTAAATATCAATTGTCTAGAAGGTAAAAACTAATTAAAATCCAGATTGTGTCTTACTGTAGTTTATTAAAATTAGGTGGTAAAAAGAAAAATGCTTTATGAAGTTTTCATTTTGACCTTTATATGTAGGTTTTTTTCCTTTTCTAATAGTAGCTTAATAAAGATTTTTTTTTTCCTATTATTAAGCTTAACCCTGCTTTACTCTGTTCTCAATTACACTTCACAGCATTCAATTAAAAAATGACATTTTCGCTAAAGCACCGGCATCGCGCCAGCGTCAAACACGGCTGCCAGTCCCTCTGTGGGCAGGAGAACACCCCGAAAAATCCCGAGGGACGTTTGTAGGACTTACTGGATTTGCTCTGCCTCACGTCCAGCACCTTGGCGTTGGCGCTGAGCTGGTAGAGGGTCTCCAGGAGCTGCGTGGTCTTGCGGTAGAGGCTCTGCGTGGGCAGCCCCTCGGGCGGCCGCGCCACGCGGGGCACCTGCAGCGGGGCCAGGCTGGCCAGCTCCATCCTCAGCTGGGCACCCTGGCAGCCACGGGAAAAGACCAGTGAGGGACGTGGGAAACGGGGAAAACGGGAAAAATGAGAAAAGCGAGGGTAAAACGCTGCTGAGGACAGCAGGGGTGGGAGCAGGACAGTCCCCGAGGGGCTGGTTGGGTTTGGGAGCTGTTGGTGAGGTGCTCCGACCAGTCCGTGAATTAATATTCGTGAGAGTGGTTGGTTAATTGGATTATCTGCTGCTGTGCACCGTGGGGGGTTCGTTAATCGATCAGTCAATGGATCGATCAGGTTGTGGCAGTGGTATCGGCCAAGAGGGGCACGAGCAGCGCGCCCAGTTCCAGCAGCAGTCCCAGCTGGCAGCGCTGAGCCCGCTCGCAGCCCCTTCCCCTGCAGCACGCCAGATGAGAGCGGGCTCTCCAGCTCATCCCATATCCCACGGGGATCCTATCCATGGGATCACATCCCACAGGGATCACACCCTGCAGGGATCCCATCCCA